AAAGCAAGGAGTGTGCCAGAAACAGTGAATGAAGGAAGACCCACCTCCCTTCCCAACAAGAAGTGAGTTTCTCTGCTGTGGTGTTCTCCTGGGGAGCAGCAAGGCAGTGAATACCCATAACTGCTGTGGCCTGCTGTGCATGTGCACTGCTGTATTTTGGTGCATGTGGTAAGAACAATGAAGTTCTGCAGGCTGCATAGTAAATACCATTGCTGTAGAGGTATGTGCAGGGCAGTGGAGTTTCTTCTTGCACTGAAAGGTTGTGATCCTATCAAGGCATTCCTCTGAAGTGGGCCTGGTCTCACATTAGGCCATGTAATGTCTCAAACTAAACCCAAGTGATGCTGCAAGTACTGCTGTGGCCAGGTAGTGTGCAAAATGTGCCTTGGCCTGGGATTTGGTGTAACTTACCTTTGCCTACCATTGTCCCTGCTGCCAGTGCCACAGGCACACATCCACCTTCCAGGAGTTCAGCTGTGTCCAAGGTGCCCTTGCTGCTTCCCAGCACCTGCTTTGGAAGGGAATCTTGGGGTGTTTGTACAGGCCGTAACAGCAACACAGTCTGAGGGTGTCCCAGGCAGCTTTCCTTCTGCCAAAATACTCAATAGCCTTCCCCACCTCTGGGTTACCTCCCTTGAGGACTTTGGTTGCTTTTATAGAAATATGGCTGGTGAATGTTGTCCAGGAAAGTGTTATTTTGGCGTCATGTGGAGCATTCAGTGCTACACCACCAAAACTGCTTTTGACTCCTGTAAATTGCTGGGGGAGGCATTTGATGGTCTTCAGTAACTCACCTTGCTATGCAGGTGCTGGCTGATCTTATCATGGTGGATTCCTATCAAGTTCATCATGAAGGGGCACCCGCTTCTTGTTTAACTTGACTTGAGGCACAGGAAAAAATGAAGGCTCCCTAAGGCCTGGTTTGTTGCTTGTTTGTGGACAAACTGTAGGTCAGTCTGGGATTTTTCTATTTGTGCCTGAAAAGGGATAAACTTGATGTACGGAGCTGCTGGTAATGGTCAGACATCCTCAGCTGGCTGTAGAAAATGTGTGTTTTTGCAATGCTCTGTGCTGCTGCTGTTCCCTGGCTGTGTAGAGGCAGGTAGAGCTCCCCAGGTGATGCTCCCCAAAACGAGCTCCCTGCAGCGTGCTGTGCTCATTTGCCTTTCGCCCTCCCCACATTCAAGGGCACACACAGAGGGTTCTCACTGCTTTGGTGCTTTTATGCCATTTGTGCAGAAATGGGAATGTGTGAGTTCAGCTGGAATCAAGATGACTGTTCTGTGGATATTTACTTTCCTCATTCTTGCCTAGGGAGGTAAAAAAATTTTCACTGGAATATCTCCTTTCCTTGGTAGTTATTAAAGGTAAAGCTATAAGCACAATGTAGTGCATCCTTACAGAATAGAGGTTCATTAGCTTAAACATTAACATAAAGAACTAAACATATAAAAATATTCTTCTTAGTGTTTTGCTCATATGTTTGGGTTTTAGCATTATCTTCTCATTCTTAAGTTATTCAGCTTCCCTGCAATTTTCCTTCAATACATGGAGTTTTCCAAAGGCAATATAAGCATAGAAGAATCAAGTTTTGCATAGTTGAATAGTGATGGAGAATACTTTCTGTAAGTCAGGTAGAATTAATTAGAACAGTAGTATTATTTGTACCTAGAACATTTGAAGTATAAGTAGGATGCAGTGACTACCAAAAATAAAAAAAGAATAAATAAATTACAGTTATTCTTCTGAGTTTGGGTTAAGGGATGTAGTAGTTCTACCTGCTTGAGTTCTCAGGTCAGCCGTTTTTTTTGCTAGGATTTTCTAATGCTATACCAATGTAGTTCTAGCTAAAATCCCTCCCTCAAACTCTTAAGGTCGGCTCAGGTTACCATAGCTCAGAACAGCTTGATAGAGAATTTTATTGCTCATCTATCTCAGACAAATATCCTAACATTTGCAAACTTACATAATGAGGCATAGGAATATTCAGAAAAGTGGTTGCTAATGCATTTTTTCTTTATAAAAAAATGTGAAGCAAAAATACGTTTTGCTGAACATGCTGAAAAAATTCATTAGGACAATACCTCTGTTAATTATTGGTTTTTTGTCTTTTCAAGGATTTGATGTAACTATACAGTCAATTGTACTGATCTCTTGTGCAAATGGGAAACACCTGAAAGCAAAGGACAGAAAAGTGTGGCCTTTTATTCACTCAAGAGATTTGGCACAGTTGTGACACAGCCTAAAGGCTTCCTGCACAAACAAGTCAGGTTGCTTCAGTCAGGAATCTTTTCAGGCCAAAAGCAGGGAAAGCTCAGTTAAAAAAAAGGGAAAAACGAAAAATAAAGAGTATTTAGATTAAAACTATGGCAAATTCTAATAAAGTTTTCTAGTGAAACCCTTTAAATTTTTGTTTGCAAGGCTCTGGCATTGCATTGCAACCAAGAAACGGCAGCTTCAATGTCCAACTATACTGGACTGTTAAAACGCTAGAGAACATGAATTTAATTAAGGAAAACAGCACTCTTTCCATACCAGAATATACTGATATCTTTGTAGGAGCAAATACAAGTTTAATAGAGAATCACAAAATCTTTTATGTTGGAAAAGACCTTTGTGACCATTGAGTCCAAACATTAACCCAGCACTGCCAAGTCCACCACTAAACCATGTCCCCAGGTGTCACATCTACACATGTTTTAAATACCTCCAGGGACGGGGACTCACCACTGCCCTGCTCAGCCTGGGTCATGTTCCACATGCTGAATAATAAGGTAGCATTGGGATAAAAATTCTGATTCTGATTCTGCCATTGTGACTCTAAAAGCTACATTATTTATTGAAAGACCATTATAGTACTGGTGAGGAGAAGCATGACTAAAATTGGAAATGTCAAAATGTAGTGAAAATTCATTGTGATCCTGAGATTAATATGGATACTGTACAGTGTTTCTGTGGAAGTCAGACAAGTGGTATTGGGGATTACTATGAATCAACCATAAGTGATTCATTGAACATAATGACCTTTGTTAAATTTTGTACAAGTTTGCTACTTAAAATGGGCTAAGCTGGAATTCCTGGAAGTGGTAATTCACTCTTTATGCATGACTTGATTTTCTTTTCTAACTTATTTGGATGAGGTGGCATAGGCTTTTACATCATGATGTTCTTGCCAGCAACATCTAGTAATTCATTCTGCCAGCAAGAATGCCACCTGAGATATTACTTTTTTTCTGGCTGGTGAGGTGATATCTATCACAAAGAAATCTGGATACTGGAAGAGGGACTTTGGAGTGGAAAGTAGTAGATTACCTATTATGGATTGTGCTAATTACAGAAGGGAAGATTGCTCTCAAGTCCCAGTGTGTCAGATGAAACTGCAGTTATTTAGTACATCTGAAAATCAGACAAAAGGAATGTAAAATTGGAAAAAAGTGTTATTTCAAAAAAAGTCACTGTCCCTAGTCACCACTAGGACTTCATTTCAAAGGTAATTTAAATGAAAGTAATTTCATCCAGTTCAGCACTTTGCAGTTATTATTGTTTGTCTGAGGACTCTGGCAACACTTATCTTCAATATTGTTAATTTCAGTGGACTTGAATGCAAGAATTTTAGTTCACTATCTCATCCAAGGACTGGCTTCTTAATCTGTAACATCTCACTACTGTGAATCAATATAAACCACAGACCATCGATATTAGGAAATTTATGATGATGTATAGATTTGAACTGGCCATGTTAACATTTATGATGCCAGGTAGAAATTAAAAGTTCTTTTAGAACTATTTTTATGTAAATTAGACAATAATTATTTTTTTTTAACACTATGAAATCTGGTAAATAATTTGCACAAGTTTTTTACTGTAAAAATAGACCTCCACAAGGAAGCATTTAATTTCATTTACATTACTATTGTTCAGAACATAGATAGCAGGAGGTATACTGATATATATTTATAAGTGATCCAGCATCTGTCATGAAAAGGGAAAACAATTGGATTTAAATCCTTTTATTAATCCAATAGAGCATTTAGTCTCAACATCAGAAAATAAATGAAAAAATAAATAGAATTGTTGGAAAAGTTAAAATCATTTCAGTCTTTGTTTTTTTCTTTTTTTTTTTAACTTCTGGATGCAACAGATAATGTTGTTCTCCCCTGTAAGTATCTTACAAAAATGTACAGAAAAATCTTTCAGTCATGGATGTAATAATCAGTTCACTGCTATCAAAAGAATGGGTAGCACTGAGTAACTTCAATCCTTTTTTTATTCTTGTCCTGTGAGAAAGACCTATATTGAAGCATAAACAGAACATGCCTTGGAGGAAAGTGTAGTCATTTCCTCATTGAATATACAATTTATTTTATAATTCATTTGAATGTATCTTTCATTTTATTGGAAAAAAACTCCCTACCTAACCCATCCTCTGGTGTGCATGCTCATTATTTTAAAATTAAGACCTTCTGTTGCTTAAGTGCTTGTACATAGAAGCACAAACACATCTAAATTTACTCTCCTGTGTAGGCCAATTGAATTAACTTGGCTACACATTTGAATAATATAAAAATGCACATAATGATCAGTAGAACCAGGACTCATAATTTCTTTCAGGAATCACATGTAACTATTCACTTGAGAAAGCAATTTATAATTTTCTTGATAAACGTGGAGAATCAGACAAATAAAAGGATCCAAAAAGCTGAAGAATGCTAATGTTTTTTTGAAATAGTGTAGTTTGTATGTCAATACCAAGAGGCAAATTTCTATATGCATGATTGAAATTACTTGATAAAGAAATAAAGATGCTTCCCTCCAGCTGAGTGAATGACGTACAAGTCATTAATTAAAAAAATATATAAAATTATGTATTCTAAATACATTTTTTATTATTAAGTGTGTACTTAAATCAGTTCCTTCAGAATAGATTTATATCTGAATATTCATGGCACACTACAAAACAATTTAATTAAAAACTATCACTTTTTTCTTTCTCCTTCCAGTTCAACAGAAGAGCAGTTTCACTGGCAAACACAAGGTAATGTACCTATCTACACCTATGTATTACTTACATTCTCTCCCAGAAAGATCATTTTTATCTAAAAAAGATGGAGAGGAAAAGCACATTGATGTATGTGGAGGTTTTTGTTGGGTTTTTTTTGTGTTTTTTCTCACTGCTAGTGCGTGAAAACTATACTTAAAAAGTGACAAGATTTGGCAAAAGTTTTTAGGATTGACAAAAAGTACACTGAAACTAAGTAGAGCTTTGAGAAGGGGCACTGCTAAATGTGTCGCTGGCTTTTTTTACTACTAGAGCTAAATATTCTCATTTTGCTTTTATTAATCCAAGGCCACACTTTCAAAGGATGGCACAATTTTCAGTATGGCCAGTGTCCTGGGAATGTGTGGCCTCCCTCCCTTCATCAGCTGTGAATGCTTAGTCACATAAAACTGGTTTTAGCTTTTGTCTTGTATTTGGCTTTACCTTTTTGGCCTTCTTTTACGTTTTTATGTTGTTAATTTCATTACAGATGGTCAGAAGGATATAGAAGATGAACTCACCACTGGTCTGGAGCTGGTGGACTCCTGTATTAGATCGCTGCAGGAATCAGGGATACTTGATCCACAGGATTATTCAGCCAGTGAAAGTAAGTTGCTAGAAATATATTTTCTAGAACTCAAAAATTTCTTGCTTTAAAACTGAATGCATGTGTTTAAGTGCTGCTAGTTTTTTGGGGGAAAAACAAGCACATGAAATATATTTTAAGGAAAATATTTTCTAATTGCAATGCTGCTGTACTATACTGTAAGGTCATGTTACAAAACTTCAGCATCGTCAACCTTAAAAACATAAAACAACTATAAAAACAACATTCAAACAGCAATTTTTCACTATCCAAAGGTAATAAAATGAAACATACTGGGTGGCTGTGAGGAAGTCTGATGTCTGATTGTAACCACTTGGCCAGGTAGCTGGTAACTCCTTACAATGAAAATTTTCTTGTGGGTACAGAGACAGAAATAAGTGAACTTAAAGATGATGCACAGAACAGCAGCTGGAGCAAAAAAGTGAAGTCTTGTCTCCAAGGTTGGCTCACTGGTCACTTACCAGCCATTCAGTGAGTGGATGGATTGTTGGAACCAGCCAGTGGGGAAGGGAATCAAGGCTACACAACAGCAAAAGTGATCAAGGGACATGCCACTCAGTGTGTTTGTAGAACAGATGTCTACCAAGAGTTGTGTTTATGAGTCACACCAAGACTGTTTTCCAGCATGTTAACTGGTCTGTTATCAGATGTAGCACTAGATGATGGAAAAGCAGGTTAATTCCCTAGATTGCTTTCTTTTTTCTCAGGCTCCTATCTCATATTCTGTCCCCATCTTCCACAATATAAACCCACATTCACTTCTCTGCAGTTCCTGACACTGGCTTTGCTTTTTTTTAGTATTTCTCTGCATCTCATTCCCTCTTTCTCAGTTGATCCCTGCTACCCAGTACCTTCTGACTGAGTCACATCTTTGGAGGTGGCTGCCCAAATTCAGCTTTCTTGATATCAAAAGGGAAAATCTCCCCTGCATCTGATGAAGTTGATGAACTGTGACAACCACCTTCTTCAGAGTATCTCTAGCAATGACAAGTCATCACCTGCAATATGGTCATCAGGTGACAGAAGGAAGACATTGCACATTGGATACAGAATTTTATTTTTCCAGAACACTTTTCATTATTTTAAAACAAGGTTTGCTGTCAAATTAAAGCTGACAATCCTGGGACAGTAGAAAATGTTTCATTTTTCATGTGCACAAGATTTCTGGGCCAACAGTGTCACTAACACTTTTGTTACGGTTTTGCTTAATCTGAGCACAGTCTGTATGATTGACATCTGTTAAAATGTTGCTTGATCTGATCAAAATGGGGGAAGTGATGAAACAATGCAAGCCCTTATTTTTTCCTTCATTTGGAGGTGAGGAGAAACAAAACAGACTAGCATGATAAGGATTGCCTTCAAAATGTGATGCTGTGATAAAAAATGAAACTGGGTAGATGGCAATAGAGGAGATTGATAGCAGAGTGGGGCCAACTTGTATGGAGAGCTGCCAAAAACTGGCTTAAGAGATGGAAACTAAGATAAAGATAGTACATGGAATGAAGTCTGTGTATGTGAAGAAAACTAATACTAAAGACATTTCTGAGGAGCATCACCATAAGCTAAAAGACAAATAGTAATGCAGGTAGATAGAAAAATAAAGAACATGGGCAAATGGAAAATGGCGATGGAGAAGAGGAACAATAGAGATGGATTTGTGGGGGATCATCAGGAGAGGAACTGAGGTTTGTTGAAGGAGGAGGTCCATACAGAATGTTGAAAGCAGAATTTGCTTGGCTGGATGATTTGTTTGTGGAGCAAGAGCTAAGTGCAAAGAAAGGGGACAACAGGGTGATGAGAATGACAGCCCAGAAAAGGAAAAGTGCTATCATTATGGACAGGACAGTAGCTGTCCCTAAGAAACACAGGTTTGGAGAGAACAGGCATGTGCTCACAGGGAAGCAGGCTTCCCCACAGGGCTGCAAGCTTGATCTTCTATTGTCAAGAAATATTTATAAAGCCTTTTGTCACAGTGCCCTTATTCCTCTGCTCTGGGCTCAGTTGTAATAAAACTAGATTGTTATTTGCCATTTATGGGTTTAATTAAGAATCAGATCTATATGCCAAAGCTAACAGTTGCAGCTCTGCTAATCACTCATAAATATAATTAGGATGTCATATACTGGATTTTTTTTTTCTGGTTTGGAGGTCTTTTTTGAATTTCGAGTAAAATGTTATGAACACTTTGGACAGGTAAAATGTTACTGCGTTTCAAAAGTACAAAAGTCAAGACTGTACAGCATAATTTGAATTTCTTATGAATTCATTAGAAAACAATTATTATCATGCCCTATTTTGTACATTTTCTCTCCATACCTAATTTACCCAAAGTTGAGGCTCAAATTGCAACAGCACACTAGAGGGAAGAGTGCTTCTGACTTCTGTAACAATGAGTAGAACACACATACACAATGAAAACAAAAGTCTCACATTTACTTAATATTTTGTTATGTCCCTCCTTTGTGCCCTAAAGCTTTCCTGATATAGTTGTGAAATCATTCAAAGTATTTTCTGCTGATACTTAGTTTTAGGTGTTCCCAGTTAGGTGTGCTGAGAACAAACTGTTGTAACAGAACACTGTGGGAGCACATTCACAAATATTTGAAGCATGATACAAAAACGAAGTTTAAAGCCCACTCTGTAATGTCTCAAACACAGTATTTGCATTTCCTAGACACTTCAGTTCTTAATCCCTTCAATTTTGAAATAGGAAATGAGATCTATATAAATGTCTCACTTTACAGGTATTCCAAAAATCACCATTTGTGATGTATCTGAATAAACATTGAGTGCTGTAGAATTATCCACCAGGATGCTATTGTTTGTTTTTTCTTTGTATTGAACATTTTTCAGTGGAGACCTGATATGATGCAGTAAAAACCACAGAACCATTTTGCATTGTGTGCACTGGCCATAAGGCATGGAAGGAGGGGAAGAGCGATGACTCAGAAAAGGAAACTTAGTCTGGCATTTTCTATCTTTTGAGCTCCCAATTTGACAATTTTACTTATGTTTACTTCTCTGCAGTTTGACTGCAAAACTATATTTTAAGTAACAAGACTGACTCTGAGGAGAGCATTTCCTGCCTGCCATGCATTTGAAGCAGATTTTTTGAAATCATCATATGAAAGCCTGCCCAGTGATGTGACCACAGCTTCCTTTTCTGAACTGTGTGCATCTAGTCTAATGACTTAATCTATCAGTAGCCCTGCCTTTGGAGAGGATTAGTGTGTCTCTACTCAGGATCTTTACAATTTGGTTTCACGCACTCTGATTTTCTCAGACTTAATTGTAAAAAGTTGTCACATAGCAGTGAGCTGTTATAATACTCTAAATCCCAAACATCACTTCACATGTGCTATTCCTTTGGTAGCAAATAAAAGCTGTGAAAAAAAGGCTAATGGGACAAGTCACATGAAAGAGGCTTACACAGGAGGGGCTCTGGATTGCTAATAGAGATGCTCACTAATTATCTTTACTGAGTGTGAATCAGCAAATGTTAAAAACTTTAAGTTTTAACTTCTTTATTTGGTGAAATGAAAGCAGAGTGATCATTGCTTTTAAAGTAATTATTAGCAGACAGGCAGATTCATAACTGCTGCAAGCTCTCATACAAGCTTCCTGTGGTGGAGCTGACTCTGGGACAAGGTTATATGCCACCAAGAAGAGCTCCTGCACTGTCCCCCACCTATTTCTTCTGTCCCAACTCAGTGTTAGTTGTCTTCCTCAAACCATGTGCTTCCAGCTACAACTGACAGACAAAAAGTCAGGAAACTTCCAGAATTATGCAAGAAACTGCGTCTGACTGGAGCCCTGAGCCTGCATCTCCATGGTCCAGTTCCCATACTGCAGTGATTTCTCATTGTCTCTGTGTAGCTCTAGATCTGTCAAGACTATGTCACTCCAGTTTACATCAAACATGTCATAGTTTTGTGGCCTCAGAGGGGTGTTCAGCCTGTCCTGAGTGTTCCTGGGGATCATCAGCAGAACAACAGTGGCCCACACATCCCCCCAGTCCCTGGGGGAGGGCACATACAGCTCCTGCTGGTGTCGGCAGACATCAGGTACAGAGGGTCCAGGGGTCACCCTGAGGGCACTCAATCCATCCTCCTCCCTGCTCCTCATTGCTGAAACACCCAGCTTGCCTGGCTGCTCCTCTCTGAAAACATTTCTTCCTTCTGCCATTAGTTCCTGTTAGCTTTTTCTAACAGGAACTCCAAAGCAGTGCTTTTGCATAAATGAAGATAAGTAACTGCCACCCTAAATAGGGTCAGGGGAAAGATCAGATGTGTGAGAGCCAATGTAATCACATATAAGATGCTGGAAATGAGTCATGGAAGAGGAATGGGAATGCACAGTAACTGCAGGACCTGGAATCACTGGGTGAGGAAGCATGCAGAGGAACAAAATTTAGTTCAGAACAGAGTTATCTCAGTAAGGATGTTTCAGGAGACACAGCAATACTGAACAGTGAATGTAGCCCAGGAAGGGTATTTTCATGGCAGAATGGTTTAATCTAGCGAGGAAAGGCATGTGAAAATAAATTTTGTGAGGACTGAGTATGCACTGTGGAGACAAAAAGTTAATATTTCTGACTAGAAATCTTGGAAAAATGCAGGGTAAAAGAAGCAAGACATTATTTCCTCCCCTTCCCATCACTGCACCACTGTCTCAAAATCACACAACTACTTCAGATCCATTCCTTTTACTACCTTGTCAATGCATCTCCTTTTTTGGTTTTGTTTTGTTTTTTTCCTTTTTTCCACTCACATTATGTGTGAGAACAATTGAAAAGGTGGAAAGCTGCATGGGAGGAAGGAGAGTAAACATAGATATACAGCTGTCTGAGTTAAGATTGGTTGCTGATGACGTTTGTCATTATGGTTTAATAAGGTTGCGGTGTGGCCTGCAGATGAGTGGGAAAGGTCCTGATGAGCTGCCTGAGGCCCCCAGATGTTCATACTCTGTGACAGAGAAACTGTAGTCCTCTAAGCAGTTGT